CCATAGTGATACTGCCTTGGAAACTCAAGGAGGGGTTGCTATGAGAAACAGGACTATATGAAGAAGAGCACAGCATCAGAGTTGGAGGGAGACTCATCAACCATCTGCAATATGCAGATGACACAACTTTGCTTGCTGAAAATGAAGACGACTTGAAACACTAGTGAAGATCAAAGACTATAGCCTTCAGTATGGATCCCACCTCAGTATAAAACAAAAATCCTCACAACTAGACCAGTAAATACCATCTAAGTAAATGGATAAGGGCAACTGAGGAAGCTGGGATAGCTAGCTAGTGTGATCAAAGTCATAGTGGAGAGACAGCATAGTGTGTGGAAGAAACAATAAGCGTTTTAAGGATGAGCCAAAAAAGTGAAGACATGAGGAATTCCAGGAGAGAAGATTGGAAAAGAGGCAAGGCTGAAGGTCCTTCTATTCAATGCTAAGGAGCTTAGACTTGTTCCTAAAAATAACAGAGCCAATGAGAATGATCATATTTGTGTTATAAAATTGAAAAACATATTTATTACAAACCCATTGCCATTGAGTTGATTCCAACTCATAGTGACCCTATAGGACAGAGTAGAATTGCCCCATAGAGTTTACCTAAGTAGATTGCACATCTTTCTCCAGTAAATGGGTTTGAACCATTTCCCGTTCAGTTAGCATACAAGCACTTTAAGCACTGCGCCACAAAGGCTGCTATTCAACAAAATAAAATATTTTAATAATTTATTAGATTCAAATAAAAAATAAGAGTTATAAAAGACTTACAAAACAGTATGACTAGTGTAATTTCATTTTGATGAAAATAAGGATAAAGGATATATACCAAAATGCTTTTTCCTAAATTTGAGGATTATAGATGTTTATTTTGGCCATCAAGTTTACTGAGATATAATTTTATGCAATTAAAGTGGGTGCCTTTTATTGTATAGTATATTTTGATAAATATATATACCTTTGTAATTTACCAAGTTACAGACACATCATCACTCCAGAACTCCCCCTTTGTAGTCTGTAATCCCCTCCTCCACATCCCAGACCGTAGGCTTCTCCTGATCTGCTTTTTATAAGTATGCTTTTTCTGGACATTTCATATAAATGGAACCAGACAGTATGTAGTCTCTTGCTCAGCATACTGTTTTTGAGATTCGTCCATGTTGTTGTGTGTCAGGTGTTTGCAGTTTCTTGTTGAGTACATTGAATATCCCAATGTTTGTTTAGCAATAGATGTTTGTTGAAAGATATTCGGATTGTTTCCTGTTTGGCTAAAGCTCCTATAAACATTTGTGTACAAGTCTTTCTGTGAACAAATGTTCTAATTTCTCTTGAATTAATACCTAGGAAGGGAATTGTTAGATCATATGCTAAGTATATCTGATAAGAAACTGCCAAAATTTTTCTAAAGTGGCTGTACCATTTTACATTGCCATGAGCAACGTATGAGAGTTCCAGTTGTTGCCCATTCTTTCCAACATTTGGTATTATCAGTCTTTTAAAATTTTATGATTCTACCAGATGTATAATGTTAACCTCATTTTAATTTGTGTTTCTATAATGACTGTTGATATAGAGCATTTTTTAAATGTGTTAATTAGCCATTTCTAAATCTTCTTTTGTGAAATGTCTGTTCACATCTGTTCCCCATTTTTAAAATCAAACTGTTAGTCTTATTGAGTTGTAAGCATTCTTTATATGTTCTAGTTGCAAATCCTTTGTCAGCTATAGACATATTAATGGTGAATATTTTGCTGAAAGCAAGCATAGAAATACAGGAAGGATAAATATGAAAGAAATTATTCCTGGGCTGGGGGATTATCATAATTTTTTCCCCTACTTATTGGCTACATATTTTAATTTTTTTTTATACATAACATATCATTTCTGTAGTTAAAACAAAAATTAGTGTAAAAATAAGAAAAGAACTTGGCTTTCAAGGAAAATAGGGAAAAGTAATATAGCTGGAGAATAATACCAGATCAAAAGAGTATATTTCCTTTTAAAAATAAGAGATTTGAACACTTTTATAGGCCAATAGAAGTAAGTCATTGGGATGTAACAATAGCCTTCTAATACCTTAGACCTTTGTAGAAGTAACTGTTAATGTGTATTAGCACTAGATTACGGACATCTGGGAAGGTTTGGGCAGGAAAATAAAAAAAGGAGTAATAAGGAATAGTCACTACAGGAGTCCTAGATTCTTTAGAAAGAAAGATCTCAGAGATATTTAGGAACTGACTTAAAAATAGAAATAGGAAAAAATATCTAGTACAGAAAATGGCTTGATATATTTTTTCACATCCTTGGCATGTTTTTAACCCAAAATTATCTTCCTCCCTCCACAGTTGCTTTCTCCAGCTATCAAAATATATATAATCAGGGAATATAAAGTTCATTTTAAATTAACCTAAATTTAATATAGCTTAGAAAATAATTATATTATTTTAAAAATCACCTTTTTAATTACCCACATATTTTGGACATTGCCCTTGTCCATTATTAATATTTAATGGACTTCCTGCAGAATATAATAATTTCTATGCTATCCTGTTTAAAACTCTACAATTAGACGTTTGTTTTTCACCTATGAAGAGGTCAAGCTGGGTTTGGTCCTGTCGTTGGCTTTGTATCCACTTGTTGTAATCAAATTAGTTAAGCCCCAAATTATTTTCTTCTCTGTTTGATAGGGGAACTACTAGTAAAATGATTTAAAATAATCATGAAAGGTATTATAGAAGTTCTGGATTTTCTGTTTCACTCATGAATTGCTCTTAAAAGAAGAGTCTGTATGTAAATTTACTTCTGTACATTTTCATCAATGATGATAATTTTGGTTTTGGTATCCGAGTTGTTGCAAAGCACTCTTTTGAGTGGATAGTTAGAGAAAGAGGAATCTGGATTTGAAGACAGAAAAGGAAAGAAATTCAAAGGTATTGACAGTGAGATTAAACATAGCATAATCTCTGGGGGGAAAGTAGTCCATAGACCAAAATTTGTATCTTAAATATGTTAACAAAGAGTGACAATTAATTCACTAAACGTAGAACTCAAGTGATTAGAAATTGAAAAGGGAAATAAACTAAAGCAAAAGAAATTATTTAAGTTGAAAGGACAATCAATTTAATTATAAAATAATATGATTACAGCTTTATGTGGGTAAATGTCAAAGTGCTGTAAGTGTGTGTTTATTCTAACAAAATATAAATTGCCATAGTAACTCAAGAAGAAATAGCAAAAAGAAAATAGACCAGTAACTATAGATAAAATCAAAAGATAGTCAGAGAAGAGAGAAAAAGGTACCAGGCCCAGATGATTTTATTCACAAGCTCTATCAAAACATTCAAGAACATATAATTCTTATGTTAAATAAACTGTTCTAATACATAAAGATAGAATAATCCTCAACTCACTGTGCTAGGATAGTGTAACCTAGATACTGAAACTAGACAATAGTTTTATAAGTCAGTGCACATGACCACATTCACTGTTTACATACCAATCTAATGTAGGAACAATGTAGAAATCTTAAAATATGAATATCTCTCATCTAGAAGTATATTAAAATAATAATTTATTATATGCTAGGTACTGTGTTAAGTCCTTTACAGGAACTGCCTCAGTCTTTTAAGAGCCTTAAATGGTAGGGTTGCTATGAGTTGTAATCAACTCAGTGACACACAACAGCAGCAGCAACAAATGCTTGATGCCATTCTACAGATAAACAATAAGCTCAAAAAAAGTTCATCATAGACGAGTGGAGTTTATTGCTTGACTTCACCCTTTCATGATTCAGTTACTTTCTGCTTTTAATTTTTTCTTGATAACCATGTGTTTTCATTAATGGAAGGCATACTGCATCAAGGAGCTTTCTGGAATTTTGTTATGAAATAATGGATTTTTATAATGTTATGCAGGACACATATATCTTTTTGGACTCTGAATGGCCTTCTACATCCCTTGACTAGTACATGTAATTTAGGGCACCTGAAAATGTGGTATTTACATGAACATGGAATCATCATGAGAAAGGCAACTTAAAAATAACACACAGGAACCTGGAAATAAAAGACTTATCTCCCAACGTAAGAGCCAAAAGACACAAAAGTTTTGCAGAATCACAGGATGTATCACCTCATACAATACCCTATAAAAACAGTAATTTATGGCACATGTCCATTTCTTCTATTTCAATCAGTTATTCAAGTCCCTGCCTGACAGCTGCATGCACTGTCGGTGGGAAAGGAGCTGCCCAGTAAACCCTCAAAACTCATGGCCATTTCCAACCATTTCATGGTCATTTCCAACTCATAGCAACCCCCACTGAGTTTCCGAGGCTGTAAATCTTTATGGGAGTAGATCACCCCATCTTCCTTCCGTAGAGCAGCTGGTGAGTTTGAACACTGACCTCCTGGTTAGCAGTCAAGTGCCTTATCCATTACGCCACCAGAGCTCCTTAAACCCTAATAAACTCTAGAGGAGAAAAATGTAGATGGGTGCTATATGACCCATGGGTCATGAAAGGGTTAAGGAAAAGTAAGTCACTCTATTAAGATTATTGTTTCATTATTTACATAAGTTTATCTTGTTAGTCTATAACTCTTAAGTTGTCATCTCTGATTTAAAGTGTTGTTACATAAGTAGGATTATAAAACTGAAATAGCATGTTGTTAGAATAGTTTTTCTTCCGTTAGGTTTCTATTCCTTACATTTCCTTATGTTTTTATTTTTTTTTTTTAGTATATTTGACAGTATATTGGGTAAAACTTCGAAGAGGTATATATTTCATTTGTTGGCTTAAATATAAAAATCTTACCTAGTATTTTCTTTGAACTTTTTGTCATTTGAGTGAAAGTTTACAGAGCAAAATGTTTTTCTAGTTTCTAATATTTTTAATAAGATTATCTTAATTTTTACTTTTCTCTTTTAAAACTTATTTGTATGAGTGCTGATGATATTTTCTACAACCTGGAAAAATAATATTTATTGTTATTTCTTAGGTACAAACTGTTTTGAAGCCAGTCCATCAGAAGGAAGGGCAAGAATTAACTGCTTTGCTGAATGCCCCACATATTCAGGTAGAAAATGGAAAAAAAAAGTCAGATTCTAGCCTGTTTTGATGTTTGCAACTGCCTCTGCATAATAATAATCGCTGTTGGATAATATATTTTCATATTTAAAATAAAGCAAATTATTTTTGGAACAACTTTTTATTCTTTAAAAATTGGACAAAAATGCCTCCTTTTTTTTCTGTGTTATAATGTATTTTCCACACATCCTAAATTACCTAGAGTGTTAAGTGTTGAAATGTTTTAGACTTTCATATCTTAACCCAGAATATGCCTTAACATACCTGACACATTTCTTAACTGTAAAAGATAAAGGATTGTGTCTGTACTTAAGATGGAAAGTTTGGAAACATCTAGATATATAATGATACCACATCTTTTAAAGATTAATAATCAGAATACCATGTGTATGTGCACAGTTAGTTTAAAAATCACTCTACATAAATAGATCATGCTGTTATTTTAAAATGCTGTGGATTTGTTTGAAACAGGCACTTTTACTGGCCCATGATAAGGTTGCTGAGCAGGAAATGCAGCTGGAGCCCATTGCAGATGAGAGACTTTATGAAAGCATTGGCCAGTATGGAGGAGAAAGGGTCAAAATAGTTCGTATAGAAAAGGCTCGGGATATTCCATTGGTAAGTGTTCTACTTCTCTAATCTGAGATTCTACACAAAGGATCTTGCATACAGCAGACAGTTGATGACCCTATTGCATTGCTGGTGATTTTTCTCTTTTGAGGTTCATTTGTTATTGTATATTCCTGCTATACCCCTAGGAGCTCTGGTGGTGTCGTGCCTAAGGTGTTTGACTGCTAACCAGAAGGCTGGCTGTTCAAACCCACCAGCCATTCCTCGGAAGGAAGGTTAGGCAATCTACTTCTGTAGTGATACTGCCTCGGCAACCCAAGGAGGGGTTGCTATGAGTCAGATCTGACTTGACAGCAGTGCTTTATACCCCTTACTGTTTTGAAAAAATTTTGTTCATCATCTTTTCTCACTTATATGATGGAAATCATAGCTTATGAAATAATAGTTGAGGTACAAAGAAGAGACAAATAATTTATTTGATTATTCTCCTAGCTTACTTTCCATAACGTTGGTTAGAAATTCTGATCTTTTTTATTTAATTAAATTTATTGAAACACATTTACTTCAGGTATTCTTAGAAATATGTTTTCCTTAATGTTTAGGTTTGATTTATAGTTTTTATATGTAATGCTTTTTGTTTACTTTCTTTTTTTTAATATTCTGTCAATGCCTTAGTTTTTTTCCCTTTATTTTCAAATAAGTATTCTTGAATTCTGATATCTCAAATTGTGCCTTGAATAGTGTGGCTTATGGAATGTTGTTGTTATTTGCCGTCGAGTCGGCCCCGACTCATAGCGACCCCTCCTTGGGTTTCCGAGGCAGTATCACTACGGAAGTAGGATTGCCCAGCCTTCCTTCTGAGGAGTGGCTGGTGGGTTTGAACCGCCAGCCTTCTGGTTACCAGTCAAGTGCCTTAGGCACTATGCTACCAGAGCTCCCGGCTTATGGAATACAAACTCTATTTTATAGGCAGTTCACATAACTGGCATTTTCCTTACCAGAAAAAGGAAATCATAAAGTCATGACAAAATTTTCGAATGAAAGTTTTATTCTGTATGTTGTATTTCTAAGTTTTGAGCTTATTTTTTTTTCAGTTGTGCTTCTAGTTTGTGTAATAAATATTATATATTCAGTATTTAATATTAATAAATATTACATTTTAGTGTGAATTGGACACATCTACAGTATATTACATGTTGAATAATCAACCAGATTGTTATTCATCCCATCATTATATTTTGAATTTAGAAAAGAGGACATTTATAGTTAAAGTTATGGTGACTAATTACGTCTAAATGTAACCATTTGAACAGCATCCAAAATATAGAGAACAAATCTGATTATAGGTCTTCACACATTGTTTTTAAGCTAGTGCATTTTCCTGCTGTTGTATGCTTCAGAAGTCTGCTTGATTTCAGAATTCTAATGAACAGAGTGTTGCTTAAGCAGGAAATGTGGGAAAAATGGTCAGCTTTCAAATCTAATTACCATAATTACTCTTACTCTAGTCATGCAAGTACTTTTTTTTTCTCCTGATACCTGAAGGCTGGTATTGTTGAATATGGCTAAAAATAAGAAAATATAAGAATTTTACAATGAATAAATGTTTCAAAAATTGTATTATTTTAAAATTGGTGTTGAATTTTTAGGGTGCTACAGTTCGTAATGAAATGGACTCTGTCATCATTAGTCGGATAGTAAAAGGAGGTGCAGCAGAGAAAAGTGGTCTGTTACATGAAGGAGATGAAGTTCTGGAGATAAATGGCATTGAAATTCGAGGAAAAGATGTCAACGAAGTTTTTGACATATTGGTAAGTTGGCACAAGTAGAAGAATCATTGATACGTTCTTTAAAAGCTGTTTTCTTGTTACTACATTTAAGAATAAAATATTTAAAAAAAAAAAAAAAAACCTGTTCCAGAACCAAATTCACTGCCATTGAATCTGTTCTGACTCATAGCAATCCCCATCAGGTTTCCAAGGCCATAAATCTTTACAGAAGCAGACTGCCTCACCTTTCTTCCATAGAGCAGCTGGTGGGTTCAAACCACCAACCTTTTGTTTAGCAGCCAGCTGCCTTAACTACTATACCACTAATCAGAAAAACTAAACCCACTGCTATTAAGTTGATTCCATAGAGACCCCTGTTGGGTTTCCAAGGTGGTAAATCTTTATGGAAGTAGGTTGCCCCATCTTCCTTCCACAGAGTGGCTGGTGGGTTTGAACTGCCATCCTTCTGGTTAGCAGTCAGATGCTTTAGGCACTGTGCTACCAGAGCTCCTTAAACCACTAGAGTTCCTTAAAAAAATTGTTAAGAGCACTCTAATTTCTAACCTAATTTTCACATGATGTAATCATTTGCACATTGTTAGTAGATTTTTTTTTTCACTTGTGGGTGCATGCCACTGATATTTTTAAAATTTTATTTGAGCTTTATTACTACCAACTATGTTTCTGAAATTAGTAATAATGTAACTTACTGATTTACTCAACAAATATTTATTGAGTGCTTATTATGTGCTAGCCACTTAAGGAAACAGTGACAAAACAAAATCCTGCATCCTCATGTTCTTTTTTGCTTTCTTATCGTCTACAACTGATTGTTGTTTCCCTAATAATATTAATTAATGTGGGTGGTATAGACCTGCATTGTCCATTATAATAGCTACTAGTTACATGTGGCTATTTAAAGTTAGGTAAAATTTAAAATTTAGTTCCTTATTGATACTATGTGCATTTCAGGTGCTTAAAAGGAATATGTAGCTAATGGCTACCATATTGGACAGCATAGATATAGAAAATTTCCATTGTTTTAGAAAGTTCTACTGGGAAGTGCTGATGTAATCAGTAAGTCATTATTTATAATCAACTTTTTAGGACAATATATGATAACTTTTTATAGCTACAGATCAGATTCATATTCTTAATTTCTTAGTATCAGTTGTTACATTACAATATCTCTTATCTGTTAATGTCTGTTGTAGAATCTAGAAGACATCTCAACTCTTTATTCAGTCAGTGTTATGCTGGGAAATAACATTGTGCCTATGAGTAACACTCTGTACAGTTAAAAAATAGAATGGATGACTAAAACAAAGTATCTGGAAAATGAGAATATTTACATGTTTGTATATTTAGATCACTTTTCTAATCCTGAGCACAATTAGTATTTTAAGTTCTATAGTATTAAGATGTCTGTATGTCAGAATAAATAAGCCAGAATTATCATATCACTGGCATCTTCCATCCATTTCCTATGGAATTTTCCTAGCTGGATGCTGAATGGAAGACAAAAACCACGACTTGTGGACTAAGTGGCTTTCCCCAATTGACCATAATTGCAAATGCCATATTCTAGGAGAGCTTTAATATAATGGAGTCTATGAAAAGCATAATTTATGCTTCTGATGAAATTTTTTTTTTAAGTCTTCTAAAGTGTTCCAGAATAGTCTAGTGTAGGGAGTATTAAGTATAAGTTTGTAAAAAGTTTTCATAAAAAATACATTTTTAAAATAGTCCAATCTTTCTATTACAGTCTGATATGCATGGTACTTTGACATTTGTTCTGATTCCCAGTCAACAGATCAAGCCTCTTCCTGCCAAGGAGATAGTAGTAAGTGACTTTTGTGTTCTGATATTTGTTATCCCATGACTACTATTTACTTTTGAGTGTCAGCATTGTCACTCTAAATAATTCCTGCACTCAAGTAAATACAGATAAATTCAGTATGTTTGATTAAATAAATATGAAATAATTCAAATTTAGTATAGTCAGAGTTTTCTAAATAAAAAGTAGAAAATAGTTTATTTTTAGAATATTTGTGATTTCTAACATTGAATTTTATCTTTTTATATAGTAGGTGGCTTTTTTTTTCCTTACATTTATTGTGGTGAAAACATACACAACAAGGCATTTGCCAACATAACAACTTCCACATTTACAGCTCAGGGACATTGATGACATTTCTCATGTTGTACCACCATTGTTGCTGTCATTCTCCAAAATATTCTACCATCATTAGCATAAACTCAATGCCCTGCAAACAAAAGCTTCACTTTTACTCCTCCCTCTTGCCCTAGTAACCACTAATAATAATCTTTGTTGTGTATAAAATTTTTTTTTGTTTTCCCAACCTGTCTAGGAACCCCCCCCCCCCAATCCTTGGTAACCAACATAGAAAGTTCCCTTCCACGTGTAAAGCTTTCCTTGACTTTTTATAGTAATGGATTCATACAATATTTGTCCTTCTATGATTGACTTATTTCACTCAGCATAATGTCCTCCAAGTACACCCACATTATGTGGTGTTTTGCAGATTCTGCATTATTCTTTAGTGTTCCGTAGTATTCTGTTGTGTGTATCTACCAGAGTTTGGTTATCCATTCGTCCATTGATGGACACTTAGGTTGTTTCCATCTCTTTGCTGTTGTGAATAGTGCTGCAGTGAACGGGAGTGTGTATGTATCGGTTCATGTCCTGGCTCTCACTTCTTTAGGATATATACCTAGTAATGGAATTTCTGCTTCAAATGGTATTTCTGTTTCCAGCTTTTTAAGGAATTGCCATACGGCTTTTAACAGTGGTTGTATCATTTTACAGTCCCATCAGCAGTGTATGAGAATCCTAATCTCTCTTCACCCTTGCCAGCATTTGTTATTTTCTGTCTTGTTGAATTTTACTATTAGTGCTGGGGTGAGATGGTGGTATCTCACCGTTGTTTTGATTTGCATCTCTCTAATGGCTGATCCGTTTGATTGTGTGGATCGTGACAAATCATGGATAACATTGAGAAGAATGGAAATTCACGAACACTTGATTGTACTCATGAGAAACCTGTACCTTGACCAGGAGGCTGTCGTTCGAACAGAACAAGGGGACGCTACATGGTTTAAAATCAGGAAGGGAGTGTGTCAGGGTTGTATCCTTTCCCTATACTTATTCAATCTATATGCTGAGCAAATAATCCGAGAAGCTGGACTATATGAAGAAAAACGTGGCATCAGGATTGGAGGAAGAATCATTAACAACCTGAGATATGCTGATGATACAACTTTGCTTGCTGAAAGTGAGGATGACTTGAGGCACTTACTGATGAAGGTTGAAGAATATAGTATGCAATATGGATTACGTCTCAATATAAAGAAAACAAAAATCCTCACAACTGGACCAATGAGCAGCATCACAATAAATGGGGAGAAGATTGAGGTTGTCAAAGAATTCACATTGCTTGGTTCTACAATCTATGCCAATGGAAGCAGCAGTCAGGACATTAGATGACATGTAGCATTGGGAAAGTCAACCGCGAAGGAACTGTTTCAAGTGCTGAGGAGCAAGGATGTCTCCTTGAGGACTGAGGTGCTACCTGATACAAGCCATGATATTTCCAATCGCCTCATATGCATGTGAGAGCTGGACAATGAATAAGGAAGACCGAAGAAGAGTTGATGCTTTTGAGTTGTGGTGCTGGCAAAGAATGCTGAAAGTACCATGGACTGCTAAAAGAACTAACAGATCTGTCCTGGAGGAGGTGCACCTGAAATGCTCCTTGAAAGTGAGAATGGCCAGACTTGGTCTTACTTATTTTGGTCATGTTGTCAGAAGGGACCATTCCTTGGAGAAGGATATCACGCTTGGTAGAGTGGAGGGTTGACGAAAGAGTGGGAGGCCGTCAACGAGATGGATTGACACGGTGGCTGCGATGATGGGCTCAAGTATGGCAGGGATTGTGGAGCTGGCGCGGGATCGGGTGGTGTTTCGTTCTGCTGTGCATGGGGTCGCTATGAGTTGAAAACAACTGGACGGCACCTAACAATAGCTGATGATTGTGAACATTTCTTCATTTGTTTGTTGGCTACTTGAGTATCTTTGGTGCAGTGTCTGTTCATGTCTTCTGCCCATTTTTAAAAAATTAGATTGTTTGTCTTTTTAATGTTGAGGCATTAGAGTTTTCTATAAATCTTTACAGATAAGTCCTTTGTTAGATATGTCATGGCTGAATATTTTTTCCCATTCTAGAAGTAGGTTCTCTTTTTACCCTTTTGGAGAAGTCTTTTGATGCATATAATAACTTAATTTTTAAGGTCCCAATCATCTAGTTTATCTTCTGCTGTTTATATATTTTGGGTTATGCTTGATAGACTATTTATGCCATAAATTAAGGCCCCTAAGTTTGCCCCTATTTTTTCTTTGATGAATTTTATAGATTTAAGTTTCACATTTAAGTCTTTGATCTATCTAGAGTTAGTTTTTGTATATGGTGTGAGGTATGGATCTTGTTTCATCTTTTCTGCAAATGGATATCCAGTTTTGTCAGCACCATTTGTTAAATAGGCTATTTCTTCCCCATTTAATGGATTTCAGCCTTTTGTCAAAAATCAGCTGACGATAGGAGCATGGATCCACTTCTGGTTCTCAGTTCTGTTCCACTGGTCTATGAGTCTGTTGTTGTACCAATACCAGGCTGTTTTGACTACTGTGGCTGTATAGTAGATTTTGAGATCTGGGAGTGTGAGACCTCCTACTTTGTTCTTGTTCATTAGTGCTTTGCTTATCTGAGGACTCTTTCCTTTCCATATAAAATTAGTGATTGGTTTTTCCATGTCTTTGAAAAATGTGGATGGAATCTGAATTGAGATTGCATCAAATATATAGATTGCTTTGGGTAGTGTTGACATTTTCACAATGTTCATTCTTTTTATCCATGAGCATGGTTTGTTCTTCCATTTATGTACATCTCTTAGGGTTTCTTGAAGTAGTGTTTTGTAGTTTTCTTTGTGTCAGTCTTTTGTGTGCCTGGTAAGATTTATTCCTGAATATCTTATCTTTTTAGTAGCTATTGTAAATGGTATTGATTTTCTTATTTCTTTTACAGAGAACTCTTTGCTGGTGTAGAAGAATCCAATTGGTTTTTGTATGTTGATCTTGTATCCTGCTACTATGCTAAATCTTTAAATAAGTTCCAGTAGTTTTGCTGAGTCTCTGGTGTTTCTTTGTATAGAAGCATATCATCTGTAAATAGGAATAGTTTTACTTCTTCCTTACCAATTTGGATGCCATTGATTTCTCTTTCTTACCTTATTGCCCTGGCTAGGACTTCCAATACAGTGTTGAATAGAAGTGGAGATAGAGAGCATCCTTGTTTGGTTCCTGTTCAAAGGAGAATCCTTTGAGTCTCTGACCATTGAGAATAATATTGGCTGCTGTTTTTGCATTTACGCCCTTTATCATGTTGAGGAATTTCCCTTTTATTCCTATTTTTGTGAGTGTTTTTTTCAGGAATGGTTGTTGGATTTTATCACACGCCTTTTCTGCATCTGTTGATATGATCATGTGCTTCTTTTCCTTTATTTTATTTATGTGATGGATTACATTGATTGTTTTTCTGGTGTTGAACCATCCTTGCATACCTGGTATGAATCTCACTTAGTCGTGATATATTATTTTTTTGATATGTTGTTGGGACTCTGTTAGCTCTATTATTTTGTTGAAGATTTTTGCTTCTATTTTCATGAGGGATATTGGTCTGTAGTTTTCCTTCCTAGTGGTATCTTTGCCTTGTTTTGGTATCAGGCTTGCTTCATAAAATCCATTAGGGAGGATTCCATCTTTTTCTGTGTTCTAGAATAGTTTGAGAAGGATTGGTGTTGACTCTTCTGAATGATTAGTGGAATTCTCCAGTGAAATCAGTCCTGGGCCAGGACTTTTTTTATTGGTAATTTTCTTATGACCTGTTCAGTTTCTTCTTTTTTTGTGTGTCTGTTCAGATTTTCTACCTTATTCTGTTAGTTTAGGTAACTAGCGTGTTTGTAGAAATTTGTCCATTCCTTCTAGGTTTTTAAATTTGTTGGAATACAGTTCTTCATAGTATTTTGAGATTATTCTTTTTATCTCTGTTGGTTCTGTTATGATGTCATGCATTTCATTTCTTATTCATGTTCTTTTTATTTTCTTCTTTTCCTTTGGTAAGTTTGCCAGTAGTTTGTTGGTTTTATTAATCTTTTTGAAGAACCAAATTCTAGTCTTGTTGATTTTTGTCTGTTGTCTTTTTATTTTCAGTTTCATTTATTTCTGCTTGATTCTTTATTATTTCTTTTCTTTTGGTGACTGTATGTTTTTTTTTTTTTTTTTTGGCTGTTCTTTTTCTAATTGTTGGAGATGTTGGGTTAAGGTATTGATTTTGGCTCTTCTTTTTCGATGAATGCATCTGTTACTATAAATTGCAATCTGATCACTGCTTTTCCTGTGTCCCAAAGATTTTCATTCTCATTCGATTCCAGAATTTTTTTAATATCATTTTTTATTTCTTCTATTACCTAAGTCATTTTTGAGGATGGTCTTACTCAGTTTCCATGCATTTGCTCTCTTTACATTGGTCTTCCTAGAGTTGATTTCTAATTTTATGGCATTGTGATCTGAGAAGATACTTTGCAGTTTCTAACTGTTTTAAAATTTATTCAGGCTTGCTTTGTAGTCTAACATATGGTCTATTCTAGAAAATGTTCCATGTGCACTGGGAAAGAATGTATATTGTGTTGTTGATGGGTGAAGTGCTTTGTAGATGTCTATAAGGTCCAAGTTGGTTGATGGTATTTAGTTCTTCTGTATCTTTGTTG